GTGTTCTACTGAAGAAACAAAGTCACCTACATCTTGGATGCCCTGGGGGTAAGCAGATAAACATCACATTTTCATTCTTGGGTTATCTATCCCTTTAATGTTTCATGCCTTCATTTGATTACCACAGTTTTGGATACATTTGTATTAAATTACTATTGTATTAAATTATTTAATATAAAATAAAACATTTCAAAATTTGACTTACTTGACTTACTCATATGTCCAGAACACAGAAAATTAATATATTTTATCCATTTTGTCATAACAATGAATAATTTAATATAAAATAAAACATTTCAAAGGGCCTTATATTTGACTTACTCATATGTCCAGAACACAGAAAATTAATATATTTTATCCATTTTGTCATAACCATTTAAAAAATGAATAATGATAATAATGGATGTTCAAAGTGGTCTTAGACTTTTAAAGGCCACTGCAAACATTTAGTGAGAGAAGAGAGAAATCCTGTACCTCTGGATACGAATGCTCTGGTCTTGATGGCCCTGTGTGGCGATTCAGCTTCATCGACAACATGCACAATTACAAGCTACTCCTGTGTAATAAATACGTAGTTAGCCTTCGACAGTGACATCATGGGGTCAACAATTAAAAATCAAACATGTCGTACTATACACATTCCAGATATCATGTTACTAGAGAATTGTACAGAAAATCTTAACTCCTAAAATAAGAGCTTACATTTGTTTCCTCTGATGGCATACACCAGTTGGACTTCAGGGTAAAATTTGCCCATCTGCTCGATGACTTTGCCTGTCTGTAGGGCGAGCTCGTATGTGGGGGACACACACAGACACTGGGCACAGAGAGTCAGAGTGACATTAACACCAAAAGAGCTGAATTATTGCCATGCATTTATGCATTACATTCACTGACACTGATGCATTTCATACCTGAGGCCATTTGTTTTCAGGGTCCACGTGACTTAACATGGCCAGCACAAAGGCAGCCGTTTTACCCGTGCCTGACTGAGACTGAGCGATCAGATTCTGTGGACTGGACAGGAAAGGATATAATGTGTTCAAAACTCTGCTCTCGTTAATAGTAGGGTTGGGTACAGACAATTTAGTGATCATAATGTCACATTTTTTGGATCATTTGGATCCTGCATAATTCACCATTTAACCACAAAATAATTGCAAAAAAAAAAAAAAGCA